TTGCAACGTTCATTGTGTCGTGGCTGCTGTTCCTAGTGATAATGGCTCCGTTCGTAGCTGATATGTCGTTGGTAGTATACCGAGACATGAGGTTTTCCTTTGGGCTTCTCGCTTCTTTGGTCAGAGAGCGACACCATCTCAAACACGCGCCGATATCAAATGACGAGGTCCAAACGGCCTACACAATTGCAGGTTATCTCGTTGCTATTGGCGCAATGTTCGCGTTGGTGAGGACTTGGGCTGGTTGGGCTAACCTAGCACTATGGAACCCGACGCAAATACTGTTGAATCCCGTGAATGATTTAAGAATCGGGAAATTGACTAAGAAAGACGCGGGGGGCGTAAAATACGAATTTATTGCACTAGAAGATGGCACAAGCTCGACTGAAGTTAAAACTGCTGTCAAACTTAGCGTATCTTTAACTGCGCGCTATCAAGATCTACGAGTTGCTGTCGTCATGCTAAGCCTTGTGATTCTACCGGCGATTGCTGTGGCAGGGCGTAGTGCCTGCTCCCCTCTCGTAGCATACGCGGCGTTGAACGCGACGCTGAACGAGTTACTTCTTCATATGTTTGAGCCTGCTCCTATCGATGTCGAACTTACGAATATACTCGGTAATAAACCGTGGATGGAGAAGTTTATCGACACGTCAGAAGAATACGAGCGGTTTGGAGACGATACGATGTTCAGACGCACCACAGGATTCAATGGAGAGCTCGCATTCAACGTCAGTATTGACGATGACAATCCGCCGAATGTCTTACTCATTGGCGTTGAATCTTTCCGGTATCGCGATTCACGCTACCTCGTGGGAGAAGAAGACCCTTCTAACTTGTTCAAAGGTACAAATTTGACAATAACTCCGAATTTTGACAGATGGGCGAAGCGCGGAGTTGCAATGCGCAATATTTGGTCCAGTTACCCGACCAGTCGATCTCTTGAAAGCGTGCTGTTCGCTCAGGTCCCTTACCACAGCAATACGCAGACTGGAATCACTGGAGGAAGCGAACAAATCAAGCTGTCAGGACTTCCACAACTCTTCTCTGCAAAGGGATACGAAACTTATTTCACGACTGGATCCTCGTTAGATTTCGATGCTTGGGATATCTTCCTCCCGTCGCATGGCTACGATTACGTATGGGACTCCGAAGCGATGGCAATAATGGCGGAAGAGAGCCTCAATATCAGTCCCGAGGACTGGCTCGGTGATGAAGCGCGAGGTTTTGGTTGGGGTGTGCATGATGACCTCAGTTTTCAACTTCTAGGCGACTTTCTACTGAAAAAGAGAAGCGAAAAGATCGAGAAAACAGCTCAAGGAGAGACCAAAAAGCCCATGTTTATCACGCACTACACAATTTCAAGTCATGCGCCCTTTGGGTCATTTCCAAGATGGTACGACGAGGCTGAAAAACCGGATTTTTCGGCCATGTATCAAGGCGAAATGTACGCAGACAGGATCGCAAGATACTTGCAAGTGAGGTATTTTACGGACACGGAACTCGGCAAGTTCATGGACCGCATGGAGAAAGAGGGAATCCTCAATGACACCATCGTTGTCATCTTTGGAGACCACGGCCAAGCACCAGAAATTGTAAATTTAAACTTGCACGAGGAATCTGTAACGCGAGTGCCAGCTGCTATCATTGCTGAAGGTCGACTAGGTGATGCCGTGGGGCTTGTGATCAACGATGTAGCAGAGCAGTACGATCTTCTCAACACTCTCGCCGACATTACTGGCTTACCGAACGGAGGATTTCAGCAGAATGGCGTTGGACGGTCACTGAAGCGGAAAGCTACTGACAAGCGTGTGGTGTTCAGTAATGACCCGCTGCGCAAGATGGCGATTGTGCGCGGACAGCAGCGTCTCCGTTACGATGAAGTTACGGAGTCGATGATGCTGCACGATACTGAATTGGATTTCCACATGACCACAGATCTGTTACCTTTTCTTACGCCAGAAGAACGGGCTGAATGGGAAGCGTTGCGAGAGGATGGCCGTAGCATTACCGCATACTACAAGAAGCGGTGGGACGAGAACTGTCTGCTCGCTGTCCAGTGCAATACTTAACTAAGTAATTTACAGTTTATGACAACATATCAAGGATATCTTCCTCTTCCGAGTCCATCGTCTCGTCCACTGGTGTTGGCTTCGCTGGTTTTGGTTTTGGTGGGGCAGTTTGTTCGGCCCTC